AAGAATAAAATAAAAATATAAGAATAAAAAAATATATTGGATAAAAAACAACTGAAATAAAAATATAAAAATTATGTGAAAAATTTAAATCAATATATATATACGTAAAAAATCTAAAAATTAAAAAGGTTTTAGAAAAAAGAATTTTTTGTTGCTTTTATTTTGATTTATTATTAATTTTTCTCTATTAAGTAGGATAAATTTTAAGAAAAATTAATTTATAATTTCAATTAAAATTTCTTTAATATTCTGTAATTTGTGTAACTATTTCAACTATTTCTTTCTCTTTAAAATTTTAAAATTTAAAAAAATTGGAAAAAATGAATAAAAATTGAAAACGTACACAAAAATTCTGGATTTGGGAACAACATAAAAATCTGAACCATTCACATCCACCACTCTAATTATTTGCAGGGTATATATGAAAAAAAGAAGGAGGCGTTAGCTTTAAGCCGCCCTAATTGCGCAACAATGGTGAGCTCTAAGCCAAGCCAAGAGCCCGCTCGGGGGGAGCTCTTGTTTGTGTTGATCTCTCTCGCGCTCAATGTTGTTTGGCAAAATATGCGATCATTTCCGTGGGGCAAAACGAAAGCGAGACAGTTCACGGAAATGAAGCAGCAATTAAGAGGCATATGGACAAGTCTCGGCCCAGACTCGGCCAGCTCTTGGATCTGAGCCACACATAGCAAAAAGTGCGCTTGACCACTTGAACTTTACATTACTGAAGGGCTGAAGGGCCAAAATGGAAAAATACCAAAAATAAAGAAATTAAAGAAAACTCCAAATGCAGCGCGTCAAGTGCTTCGGCTGATTCGACAGAAAAAGAAAACGAGATGAAAAAAGCGACAGCAGCTCTTACAACGAAAGCCAAAATATTTTGTATTTAATGTATATAAATAGATAAATATGTTTTTTTTTTTTAATTTCTGTGGAAATCTGCGCATTCATCTGAAGGCAAACAAAGCATAGAAAAAATAAAAAGAGACACAAAAGCCAAGCGACCTTCGTCAAGCGGCCGCGGCGGCTGTTGCATTACAGTTTTTCTACTCTTTTGTCAGCGCTGCAAGTGGGCGTGGCTGCAATTAATTTGATTGCAGCTATAAATAGCTAAGGCTTGCGCGTCGTCTGCTCGCCACGCCCACTAGCAAAGGCGACGCTTGGAATGCGCCTAATCGATGCAAAAATCACCCCAAAAACTTGTTCTAAGCTTAAGTAAGAAGAGACTGCGAGCGGGAGAGTGAGCGAGAGAGGTATAGAGAGGCAAATGCAGTTGAGTTGAGTACTAGCCTGCTTTGCCTGCCTGGCCGCCTTCCAGCTTTCTAGCTGGCCTTTCCCGTCTGCTCCTCCTGCTCGCCTTCCAGCTTTCCAGCCTGCCTGCCTGCCTGCCTTGGACCACCATCAATGGCCGCGCTCTGCTCTGCTCTGCGCTGCGCTGCTCTGCTCTGGCAGATGGAGTCATGTCTAATAACTGGAACTAAAGCACACGCCGCAACGGCATGAGGCACGGCCATAGAGCAATTAGCGTTTGCTCAAAGAACGCCACAACAACAAAAAGAAGAAGCAGAGGAAAAAATGTAACAAATACGCGCGCGGCATATGCATTGTAGGTAGGTAAAAAAAATAAATAAATAAATTGGCCCGCAGCGCTGAGTAGTTCAATAACCTGCCAATGGAACTATCGATAAACATGCCTGCCCCCTCTCTCTTTCTCTCTCGGCTCAAGTTCAAAATTCGCAACATGCAAAAAAAAAAAAGCAGATGATTAATCAACGCATTCTCTTTACTCCCGCAACTTTCCAGTCAAAAGAGCTAAACAATAAGAAGAGGCTCAATGTGTGTATGTATGCATATGTGTGTGTGTGTGTGTGTGTGTGTGAATGCGAGTATTTTTCACTGCATAGTGATAAGGTCGAAGCTGTTCCAATTCACATAGTTCAAGTGCCCTTCGCCCCATCTCCCCACCCCCTTCCAGCCATAGACATTCACTTCGTCGCATTTCTTCTCTTTCTTCGATGTGTTTCTATTCTCTTCTGTTATGTTTGTTCCATAACCCATTTACTTTGTCTACTCTCTCGTTCGCACACGCTCTGTCTCTGCCTCTGCCTCTCCCTCCCCCTCTCGCTATCTATCTATCTCACTCGCTTTGTGGTTCGTGCAACGCTTGGAGGCAACATTTAATTGATCGGATTCACTTTGATTGATCGGATCGTCGCTGTTGATAATGGTACCGTTAATTTGGTAAATTATTTTGCATTTAGAAGCAAAAGCAATCCATTTTCGAACTGATTATTGGGTTCGTAATGATCATTGGGCATGATGCCACTGCGCGGCCCTGTTCTACAATAAACTCTATAATTCAGTTAAAGGTTAATGGGTGACGGCCATACACACATAGACATGTGTATGTCTGTCCATAAAAAACTATAGCAAATGGAACTGAACTGGAATAGAGCTTACATGCCAAAGCATGTGTGTGCGAGAGAGAACGAGAGCGAAATAGAGATAGTGATAGAGTTAGAATGTGAGCTGTGAGAAGTAGTGATAGGCAACGTCGAAAAGATATTCTATAGAAACTTAAGAATGTGCGTTATAATCGAATTTCTAAAAATAAATATTATTTTAGCCAAAAAAAAAAGGAGAAAAAGTTTTTACAGTTCTTATAGATGATATCATCTGGTAGGAGATGAAAGCAAACTAAATGTATTAATATTATAATATATGAGCTAAGATAGAAAATAAATGCTTGAATAGGCCAGACAAAATTCTAATTAATTGAGAAATTAATAAAGATATCTTATTTTATTCATATGACATTAAAGTTTTAAAAACATTTATAAACTTTCATACTTAAAATAACTATGCTTAAGCCAAGTATTAAAATTCCATATTCAGATATATCCATCAATATTTTCCGATTTGCCGTGTTCTTTCCTTTTCAAATGTAATCTTTCCATTGAATTCTTTTATTTCATACCAATCTAATCCCATATAACACAATCATATCTCAACCCATTGTAGCCCTTGTCTCCTATCCCATTGTCATTCTTTCCTCTTCAATTATACATACCATGAAATCTATAAACTCCAATCCGTCCTTTGTTATCTCAACCTTATCCACATTCTTCCACCTCAACCAATTCGCATTTCCATAATACAGTCCATCTCTTTGATATATATATAACTAAAGCCAACCTCAATTAATCGAATACCCATAAATATGTATTCCAATCTGCCAAGAAGCTACTCATCCATTGAGAAGACATGACATGACATGCAAAGACGAAAACAACATTTCTACGGTTTCATTCATTATCTCTCGCTGTCATTTCATAATACCGATCCTTTGCATGAGACATGCGAATAAACCGCAATGCTCCATTCAAAATCTCCCTCTGTGTGATCCCCCCCCTCCCCCTCCCTCTTCGCTTCAAAAGTACCGTTTTGTCGCCTGAGTGACACAGTATCGTGATTTCGAAAACGAAAACCGAAAAATCGAAAATCGAAAATCGAAAATGCGAGCATCGGGTTAAGCAACACGCAAATGGAGGTCAAACTCATAATTCAATTAGGAACCTGCAGCGGTGTCAATGCAGGCCGTGCCATGCCGTGGCATGCCGTGCCTCAAAAGCGAATTCCGACCCACTGTGCGTGGGCCAAAACAAAAGAGACAAAGAGGCAAAGAGAAAGAGAGAGATAAAAAGGAATTATACATATATTTTCCGCTTCCATTTTTTTTTTTTGTGTTTTAACTTTTTTTACCGGCCATGTAAATCGACATCGACGACGATCAAAGTTAAATTTCTGTTTGTTTAAGCCTTCACTTTTGCCGTGGCAGCAGACTGAAGAGCGGCGAGCGGAGAGCGGAGAGCGGAGAGTGGCGACTGGAGAGCGAAGACCGGAGAACGGAGACTGAAACTGTGGAGCTGTGGGCCCGAGCGTGAGTCAGCGACTGAACGATTGGAATTCTGCGCGCTTTGAGGATTTATTAACAAGAATAATAAAAAAATACCGAAACAGAAACAAATGCAGACAGAGCGAGCACAGCGATGAAGCCAAAGTCGAAGCCGGCAGCGGCAAACCGGTTCGCAAAGTTTTTTCTTAAGTTGTTGGCAATACCCTGTAGCTGTTGGCTGGACGAGAAGTGGTTATAATGAGCACGTGAGCACATGTATATGACTTATGTAAAGAGCCTTAGAATCGCTTCTATTTTATATGATTTATTTAATAGAAATTTAATATTATAAAAACACCATGAAGCATATTAAAGGCATATCTAGACTGCTATCGACAATTGTGCGTAACTTTAAAACTATCGATGGGTTACAGAGGACATGGATTCAAGAGCTTTACAGCTATTTTTAAAGAAAAATTCTAAAACAGCCAAATCTAAGAAAAAAAGTATCGATAATCATACAATCGATTACAAGTGTATCGATTATATTTATAATATATGTATAATATATGTAATATATGAAATATATGTAATATATGAAATATATATTCATATATGTATATTATACATAATATTTGATATATATAATTATTCTTCAATAGAAAATGCAAATAATTTGTTGTATATTTTGACAATTCTACAGCTAAGTAGCTTAGGTGAAGGCATGTCGACGTGGCTATCGATAATTGTGCGCTATAAAAACTATCGATTCCTTTACAGCCAACTAAATTGTAAATTCAACAGCAATTCCTAAAAAGAGAATCCTAAATGAGTAAAGTAAAAGACCAACAACGTGTCTCTAGCTATCGATATACGTATGAAATATCGATAGTCACCCAAGAAATCGATCACTATTTCTCATGGAAATCTAACTCTACTCTAAGGTAGTTTAGCTTAATGTATAACTTCAGATATTCCATTCCAGGGTATCATTGGTGTCTGGGCTAGCTAAGCTCTATAGACCCCACTTCATTTAAGTACCTTTTTTTTTGGTATTTTTTATTTCTTTGGTTTAAAGTTTGATTATTTCTTTTTGGGCAACTCTTACCTGTATGGAGCCGGCAACTGATGCGGAACTAAAGCTGGCATTGCTGGCCGCATCCGAAACATTGAGGGGCGTAAATTGCTGTTGCCTACGCTGCGATTGCAATTGCAACTGTGACGGTGACGGTGACTGCGACTGCGACTGCGACTGTGACTGCGACTGTGATTGCAACTGTGATTGTGATTGGGTTAGCGAGGCATCCTTGGAGTTGTTCTTAAGTGCGGGCAGCAACAACTTGGACAGTTTGTCATTTTGTCCATTGCTGTTGTTGCTGCTGATGTTGTTGATGTTGATGTTGCTGTTGTGATTGTTGTTGTTGTTGTTGGAGTTACTGATGTTGCTGTTGTGATTGCCATTGGCGTTGTCCATTTTGGTGCTATCCAAAGGCATTGTCACAGTTGCTGTCGTAGCAGTTGCTGCTGCTGCTGCTGCTGTCGCTGTTGTTGTTGCTGTTATTGTTGCTGTTGCTGTTGCTACTATTGCTGTCGTCGTGGCTGAGCTCTGCTGATGATTTCCGTTTTCTTGATGATTTCGCATTTTCATTTAGATAATTGCTGCTGCTGGGATAATCTACTGCTGCTGCTTCTACTCCTCCTCCTCCTCTTCGTCGTTTTCTTTCTTTTTTTTTCTTATTTTTTGTAGTTTTCGTTTCGTTTATTACGATGATTATGTTTGAAAATTGTTTTTTAACACCTTGTTGCCAGCATTTTAGGGCGACGCTACAACAACACAAGAAATTATATATAAACAATTGGCACACAAATCAACAAACAAAAATAGTTGTAACAATAATGATAATAATAATATATATATTTGTATATATATAAAACATTATGCAAGACACATTTCACTTTTCAATTTTTTTTTTTTTTTTTTTTTTTTTTTAATGATTATTTCTCATTTTTTGGCTGGCGACATATTTTATTGCTGTTGCTGTTGTTGCTGTTGCTGCTGCTGCTGTTGCACTTTTTCTTATCGCTGTCTGTTGCGCATCTTTGGAATGCAGCTTCGTAGAGTCAGCCAGCCAACAAAATTGAATCGATTGCTTTGGCCAAGTTATTTATTGTTGCTGCTGTTGCTGCTGCTGCTGTTGTTGTTGTTGTTATTTGGGTTTTTGTGTAATATGCGCCCGTCTTATTATGTTTGCTTTTGCTGCAGTTTGTGTGAAAAGTGAACCAGGTTTACATAACATTGACCCAAGAGGGCAGCAGCCCAAAAACCTTCTGCTAAGCCAATAAACAAGTTTTCACATACACACTTACACACACAACCACACACATATTTCAAATGCGATTTGTTTTTGCCTGGTTTGTGTTGCCCACGCAGCAGCAAAACCTCCTCAACTTGTTCATTTCAGTTTCAGTTTATGTCATCTTGTTTCTATGGTTTCTATATGCAAATTGCAGCGACGCCCAGCTGCAACGTCAAAACTTCAAGTGTTTAATGCATAATTATGAGAGAAATGCCCCTACCCTCCCCACCTTTTGATTCTTTTTTTTTTTTTTTTTTTTTTTTTGCTCGGTCGCCAAAGGAAGCGAATAGAAATCCAGTTTCTGTTGCAGTTGACAAAACTCAGTCTCAGCGGCCAGTTAGAAGACAGCCTCGACTGTTTGTCTCTGTTTCCTTCCATCCATTTCTTTTTGTGGGGGCAAAGTACGTGCAGAGTGTGTGTGTGTGTGAGAGATAGAGAGAGAGAGGGAGAGAGATAAATCTGCGACATACGATTGCCTGACTGCCAGTTAGCCAGGCTAACAGCGGCGAGTCTAGCTGCCTTCAAGTGCATTGACATTGCCAATGCTGGCGGCAACTGTTGCTGTTGCTGTTGCTGTTGCTCCTGTGCGCTGTGCTCCAATCGCTGTGTGCGTGAAAGCTGCTGCCCAAAAACAGGCAACAGCCTACAGGCAACAGACAGCAACAGCAACAACAGCAACAACAACAACAGCAACAACAGCAACAACAACAACTACAACAGCTAGGTTAATTATGGCCAAAAGCAGCAGCTGAGCTTCTGCCACACAGCCAAGATTTGGCCTATAACTGATTCGATGTCATGCTACCCTGTAGCCCATTGCGAGAGGGGTATATTGTATTTATTTGGGAGTTTAATTGATGGATATGGAATAACTGGATTTCATTTTTGAGGCCGTCGTAGATCAAATTTATAATTTTGAATACATTTATTGCCTAAAAAAACTTTGAAATAGAACAAATCTATTCAAAACTATAAATCTCTAAAAATCGAAATCTTAGGCAATTTAAATCTGTCCAATTATCGAACGAAATTAAATCAAAACGGGCTTGATACAAATTCTACAAGGCATCCTGCAGCCGTGCATTGCCTGTTAACGCATTTTTGTTATATTTTTCTGGTTATTTCTTGTTGTCTTTGTTTTTGGCTTTTTTTATACCCTGAACCCATTTTCAATGGGAAATCAGGGTATAATGGTTTTGTTGAAATGTATGTAACAGGGAGAAGGAGGCGTGGCAGACCCCACAAAGTATATATATTCTTGATCAGGGTGACGAGCTGAGTTGATTTGGCCCTGTCCGTCTGTCTGTCCGTCTGTCCGTCTGTCCGTCTGTCCGTCTGTCCGTATGTATGAACGCGTCGATTTCAGAAGATATAAGAGCTAGAGACTTCAAATTTTTTTTAAAATGTCCGTAATTACAGCGCGCATATCAAGTTTATCATTAAAAATCGATAACTCATCTCGATCTTTTTTTATCGATAAAAAACCTTATCGAAACCCAGTTATAAAATTATATCTTCTACACCTTTATTGTTAGAGTCCCCAAATTTTTAATGTATGCTTATATGCAATTTATACAATTTCGGTTTTTGTTAAAATTTACCCCCCACCTCTAAATTCACCCCCTCACCCTCACTTTTGTAAAAAGCGTATTTCAAATACTAGAGACTTGTGCTTTGGCAATTACATGCATATTCATGTTATAATCATAATCTAAAAGTTTCATGAAGATCGTACATCCATAAAAAAAGTTATTAAACAATTAAGTTCTCATAGTAAGCGCACACTGCAGCCCATGCGTGTTTATGCGTGGTTGCTTGTGTGTGTATGTGTTTGTGTATGTGTGTGTGTATGTGTGTGTGTGTATGCGTTTGTGTATGTATGCGTGTTTGCGTACGTGCGTGTGTGTGTGTGTGTGTGTGCGTGTTTCTTGTGTAAGCTGAAAGTCGCGAAAAAGTATTGAAATATCTATTGTTCCAAGGGTTCAGGGGATCTCGTAGTCGAGCAGTCTCGACTAGAGCTTTCTTACTTGTTTTTTTTTTTAATTTTTTTCTTTATTGTTTTTTATTGCGCTAAAAGCGAAATTAGACACTTTTGACTGGTTAAATGCAAAATGACATTTTTTTGTTTGTTTTTTGTTTTTGTCGTTCTTTTTTCAGTTTTATTATTTTTTGGTCAATCGTGAAAAATGCGGAAAAACATGGCCAAAACACTGGCGCCAGCGAAATGGGCACAGTTAACAGCTGCAGACAAGCTCTTCGAACACCCCAGCGCCCCTTTTGCCACGCCCAGGCGAACAAGTTTATGTGTGTGTGTGTGTGTGTGTGTGTGTGTGTGTGTGTGTTGCGGTGTGCTTATTGGTAGATATCAGGTAGTCCAATAAATTCCACAAAACAAGCGAGGTCACAAACAGGCTCTAATCAGATGACGGCGAGTATATTACATAGACAGACAGCTCTCGCTCCAGCTCTCCCTCTCTCTCTTTCTCTCTCTCCCCTCTCTCTCTCACTCGCCAAGTGTGTCTATAGATCCTAAACAGGAAATTTTTATAATAGATGCGATTTAAATATGCGTTTAGCCATACAGTATTTACTGTGGGAATGAAGAACCAGCCGAGGCGAGTCAGATAGCAATCATATCGCTATTATTCACAATTAAGATTCTCAATCTTGATGCGGAATATGTAAATAGTTCGATTTAAGCCAATCGCTTTATGGTGTTATGTTTGACGCAAGCATAAATTATTATCTATCTAACAAAAATTGACATTTCGGCATGAATTGGTGATTGATGAGTCGACGAAATCTTAATACAATGTAAGATAATACAATGTAAGATATGGATATGGCTAGATCTTTTGAGGAATATTTAAAATTAGAGGAACTTTCAGAAAATAATTAGAAACCATTTAAGAAACTTCAGAAAGTATAAAAATTCAATGTATATTACAATACATATTATTTTTAATTAAATACAAATTAAGTAAAACTACAAAAATTGTTTATAATTGTCATAAAGACCATATTAAATTATTTTTAAGCACTTGCCTCACTACATTTACAAATGTATAATGGGTTAATGTTTTTTAAACATTAAAATACCGGAAATAAATTGTTTAAATTATAATAATAATTTGCATGTCAACAAAAACAATTTTCTTGCGCTGACTCAAAAATTCTTTTCTCAGCTGTGCAATCGAAAAGGTGCTGAAAGAGCGGATCATTTATGTAGTATATAGAACGACTGAGAACTGATGTTATAGATCATTAGACCATAATTTTCCGTGTAAAATATTTTCCTCAGAGATTTATTAAATCTTAAAGAAAATCAAGAGGAAAATTTACCCCAAGTAAAAAAGTTTTGAGAATATTTGCGAATTTTCGACAAAGTATTTATAATAAATTTATATAATTTCTGAATTGTTTCCAACTAACTAAAAAGCAATTTTATAGCAAGAATTTTCATTGCCAGTCTAATGAAATAACTAAAAGAAAAACTTAGCAGAAAACCAAGCAAAAAAAGAATAAAGAAGTAAGAAAAACAGTAGAATATTTTTTTTTTTTCTATATTTTCCAACGCTATCTACTTCATCTATAGATTCCATCTAGCATACCAAGAATTCTCGTTGGCAATTTACTTATTTTCACAGCAGCTCAGCTCGACTGAGTTCAGAGTTGTTTTGTTTTGTTTTTTTCTCCGCGTCCAAGTACTTCAAAGTAGTTAATACCCGACTTTATGGCATTAACACCCATGTCATTTCCACAGTCGCTGCTTATCAGCAAAAACAATTTTCAGCTATGCCAGGGTTGTCGCCGTTTGCAAAAACTCAAATAAAAGAGTTGTCTGCGAGATTAAGTTGCCTGATAAAGTTGAGAGCGAGCGAGCTCTGCTCTGCTCTATAGCTGTGGCTGTGGCTGTGGCTGTCCCTGAACTGTGACTGTCATAAATTCTGTTCAAATGGCCGAAGTCTCCGAGCTGCTACTAACAAGCGTAACAAACTACTTGACAACAACTACAGCAGCAGCAGCAGCACTAGCTACAACAACAACAACATGAATGAAACTGTTTTACCTGCTCGCTTATGTTGTGATTAGCTTTTACCTGAACGCTGCCAGCTCTGCCAGCGCTCTGTGTGTTTGCATTTAGCTGCAAGGCTTTGGCCCTCGCCGCTCGCAGCTCTCGCTGTGCGATTCATTATAATTTTTGTCAATTCTCACAGGTAGCAGCGGCTGACAAAAGGTGAAGCTAGTGAAGATCGCATGGCGCTGTGGCATTCACACAACGGGCCACAGCAACAGCAACAGCAACAAGACGCATAAATTTACAATTAAATTTCATTCGTTCGCTCGGATTTCCGCAATCATCTACAAAAAAGGGCTTTGCGGAGCAACAATCAGCAATTGTTGCTGCCACCAGCTCTCGTGGCAGCAAGTTCAACGTTTGCTTTACTGCTTGCTGCGCTTCACTTG